GTGGTTCAGTCTCGTAGTGTTGAGGTAGAATAACTCTACCTTTCCCTTCAGAGGCAAAGTTTCAACGGTTAGAAATAGGCAGCAGGATTGCATAATTGTATCGGAATTCAGACAAAGTTTCTGCTATGATAATTACAGGGCACTGCCACAGTGGGCTGAGTTGTTGAAGATGATGATTCCCCTGGCGACATCCCAGTTGCCATGAGCTGCTTGGAAGAAACTAAGCTTACTATATGGTTCTGAACAGAGAAGAGGTTTATTTATGTGGTAGAGGGAAATCAAGATCAATCCAAAAGAACAAAAGTCCAAAAAGAAGGATGCAATTACGTACCTAGGTTTGGTGATTGAAATGCAAGGAGGCATTATATTAAAAACATGTTGAACGTAGGCCTGTGGGTGGTTGTGGGCAGCAAATAAGGAACCACTGTGCAAAGGAACAAAACTAAGCAAAGCCGCTGAAACTATAAAAAAAATTGCATCAATGCGCTAATCAGGAATCAAGGTAGGTATGGGTTATGAATTCAGCTGGGTCTATGCTATTACAGGTGGGAAGGCAATATCGTCGCCGCGGATGTAACTGCCGCCGCTGGGTGGTGCCCACTGTTTGGGGTTGTCGCCGTCGCTCGGATGACCAGATGATGTTCGGGTGTCTTCTCCAGTTTTGGTGACTCGGTGGCAGCTTCTCTAGGTTGGCCGATCCGCTGATGCACAGCAAGTGAAAACCAGCCATTAGTTTTTTTTTTATGATTCCTCTGATGCCACAATGAGCTAAAATCAGAGCGGCCCGAATAATTATTGTAACAGGTCAGTTGGGCTTTTGTAATGGGCTTACCAGAAGTCTAAAGCAAGAGGGCAGAAACTGGCAATAGCGGATTGATGTTTTTGGGCGGGAAGTGGAAAAAATTATGGAATAAAAGGACTAAATTACCCCTGACGAAAATTAAGGAGAGGGCTGCATTTTTTGAATGGAGAAAAGGCTGTAAAACTCCAGCATTAATTAATCTCTAGATTTAAAATTAGCTGATGGTTATTTGTTAAGTAATATTAATCGTGTTGTTTGTGCTCTCAAGGAGGAAGAAGCATTCTATTAATCGTATTATTTGCGGATATTTATCTTTAATGTTAAAAAATTTGTAAGAATAATTTATGGTTTGCATGTATGTATTAGATTGGTGTTTTTTATGAATAATTTGTATGAACAGATGGGTGTTAGACTTTTATTTTAACAGGAGATTGTTGTTATGAATTTTTATCACAGAACCCACAAGTATCCATGAACCTGTGGATACTGTCACAAGAAAGATTCTAAGTGCCAAGAGTTGGTCTGTGACAATACCAGCGGGTTGGGTTTGAGTTTTCCAAATCCGATGAATTTTACCCCGGATTTTTTTGATGGATAAACTCATGGATTTGATTTGTCAAAACCAACCCAAACACGGCCCATTGCCATCCCTATACACCAGTCTGTCCCACTATTATATATTTATCATAGAGTCATATTGTGTATTAGTTTGAATCTTTTTATTAGAGTGCTATAGATTATGTATTCTTTCTAAAATGATATTTTGAGTTCAATAGTGATATACAATACGACTTTTTAATCATTGGTTATCATGATTAAAATATGATTTTAATATAAAATATCTTACCTCTAAATGTTTTGATACAGTTTTATAATCATTGGTTTAAACCAATGATTGTAAAACTTAGGGGTGGGCACGTGGGTGGTTAGTCCGCGTATTGATATTGATCCACCCGCAAATAACCCGACCTGCACGTACTGGGTGATTCATGTGGGTGGATGGCAGATTGATAAATCTCCCACCCACACTTATATAGGTGGGTGGTGGGTGGATTGCGAGTCACCCGTATGACCCATATCCTATTTTTACATGAAAAAATGTCGTTTCTTTTATTGGTTATTGTGTTGTGCAATATTCATTAGATATTAGTATGACAATTATTGTTAAGATCCATTAAATATTGGGATGCAAAGTATAAATTATTAATTGTATGAAAATCATAAATTATTGATACAATCTTACTAATTTGTTATGAATTTATTATAAATGTTAGTCAATTTTCTTAATAGCTAGTTGGAGAATTGTTTTTGCGGGTTGACCCACGATCCAACCGGACCCATCCGCCACCCACCCAACCCAACCCACAAAAGTATGTGGGTGGATTGCGGGTCACAATTATTCCAACTCACTAGTATGCGGGTGGGTCAATTTGAAACCAAAACTCACCCAACCCACCCATTGCCAACCCCTAGTAAAATTGTATAAAAAAATTAGTGATAAGATTTTCTATATTAAAATCATATTTTAATCATGATTCAACTGTTTCGTACTGTTAAAGCTATCTATCGATTTAACATTCAGTAAGTGATTTTCTGGTCGAACCACCAATACTATTTTTCAATCTAGCTATATTTTAAGTAGGGTTATACATATAATATGCCTCTCTATTATGACATTTTATCAAACATGCCCCTCTACTATGTTTTACATCAAACATGCCCCTGTACTGTGAAAAAATTATCAAACATGCCCTTCCGTTAAACTTTCCATTGAAAAAAATCGTCAATCATGGTTGAACCGAGATTTAGACAACCCGACATCTGCAAATGGGAGCGAAAATGTCAGTTTTGTCTCCCGTTTTATTTCTCTGTGTCTCTTCAAAGTGTAATTATTTGGCTATGCAAAAGAACCAAAAAAATTATAAAGTGAAATTATTAGTGATATTTTAGACATTTGTATCACCCAAACCAAAGTTCGGCCTTGGTTAACGGTTTTTGGATGGAAATTTTAACAGAAAGACATGTTTGATAATTTTTTCAAAGTACAGAAGCATGTTTGATGTAAAAAATAGTTGAGGGGCATGTTTAGGGATGACAACGGGGCGGATCGGGGGCGGGTACAAGCCTCCCGACCCCCGCCCGTCAACATCGGCGGATTTCCCCATCTCCGTCCCCGCCGACTAAACGGGGGTAGATTGGCTACCGTCCCCGTCCGTCGACGGGTTCGGGCAGCCCACGGATCCCCACGGTCGGCGTTCGCTATTGAGAAGAAGTTGCGGCAGATCTTGCGGGAAATTGCGTCGGCAACATACAGAGAACTGAGGAGAAGAAGGAGTGAATTATTTTGTTGGCGGTGGAATTGGGTGGTGGGCGATTTGGGATTGCAGCGACAACATAAAGTGATGGTTGGTGAAAGAAGTCAACGCCGACGCTCGCTATACCGAGGAGAAGGAGGAGATTATTTTGTTGGCGGTGGAAGTGGGTGGTGGGCGATTAGGGATTGTGGCGATGACAGAAAGTGATGGCTGGTGAAAAAAATTAAAGTGGTTCTGCGTGTGAAGTAAAGTTTGGATGGGAGGGTTTTTAGATGGGGTTAATTTACTTAATGAAAACGACATTATTTTGGGGACGGACGGGGACGGGGCGGATACTACGAGATCCATCCCCACTCGTTGCCCGCTACTATCGGGTTTCGGGTATACCCGGATCCGCCCTTTACCCATGACGGACGGTTTTTTTGATCCCGTCTGGGCAGGTTTCGGATGGATACCCGGCGGGCCGGGCGATATTGCCATTCATGTTTGATAAATCATCATAATAAAAGTAATAAAGCCCAGTCCATGCAAATTAAATAAGTGAAACAGAAGATAATGAGCCCACACTTTTCAATTGGATTTTGGGATGAGGCTCTTTGGGCATCGGAACACCGCCTCCCGATTCAGAACGACGACGCATCATGATTCGACCCGATCCGACCCACTATTTTAGGGACGGGATACGGTGACAACCCCTAAGGGGGTTGTCAGATTCACAACCAAGGGTATTTTGGGTATGAGAAAAAAGAATATATTAATTACCTTTTTTGTATTAATTATATTGGGAATTAAAAACCCATATTAAATACAATTTTTTTTCTGAAATTTAAATCCTATACATTAATATCTCTATCTATCTCTCTCTCTTCCTTTCTCCAGCAGCCACTCCACATCGACCGACAAAACTTTTTCTCCGACGAATTCTCTCCGGCCGACTCCCTCCGGCAACCTGAAAAAATGTACCAATCTATTAGTCTACTGGTAATTAATATACCAGTGCTAGTGGTACGCTACCAGTACGTTAAAAAATGTACCAGTAAAAAATGTACCAGTGCTAGTGGTACGCTATCAGTACGTTAAAAAATGTACCAGTACTAGCGGTACCAGTAAAAAATGTACCAGTACTAGTGGTACGCTACCAGTACAACGGTACCACTACCATATTGGTAGCGGTACCAGTAGAGAATAACACAACGCTACTAGCACTGGTAGCGCTACCACTAGCATTGGTAACGGTACCAGTAGAGAATAACACACACAAAAAAAAACCAGATGATAGTGGTACCAGATGATAGGGGAGCCACTGGTATTGGTACCAGTAGAGACAAACAAAAAATCAGATCGTCGTCCCTCCCACGGCGCACGGAACCAACCCAATGGCACCGCTACCGCCGCCGCACAACCGATCCCTCACGGAATTCGTGAACGACATGCCGGGGCCCACCCCGCAAGCTTTCCCCGCGTCGATGTCGGCGTGGAGAGGGACTGCCGCCGTAGCGGAGATCGGCTAAGAGGCGGAGGATTGCATGGTGAGATTCGCACTCCGGCGGCACGATCCCGTCCCAGATCTTTTTGTGGTGGTTGGCGATTACGCCGCTGCGGCCGGCCATGTTGCTCTGGCCCGATAGGATGAAGACATGCGACGGTGAATCCTGCTGTACGGGAGAGAGGGAGGAGAGAGAGAGGGAGGATGGAGGGTTAGGGTTTTTTCTTTTTTTTTATATGGTAGGGTGAATGATTGGGTGTGGTAAATTTTTACCTTTCCAAAAATATCCTTCCTTTAATCTTAACCGTTAATTTAAAAAAAAAAAAGAGACAGGAGAGAGAGCGTATCCAAGAGCTATGAAGTGGGTTGTGAATCTAACAACCGTATCTCGTCCCGACAATTTTATCGCACTTGTTCGAGAAAATGGAAACCGGCGCATTCAAATTTTGAAATCCCACAAAGAAAAGAGTTATAGAGAGAGAGAGAGAGAGAAGGAAGATCAGAGTAGCAACCGGCGGCAGTAGGCAAGGATGATGAAGTCTTACTACAAGCAGAAAAAGCCCAACCGGAGCGACGCCATCGGCAAACCCTCCAAGTCAATCAAGAAGAAATCCCCGGCCGCCTCTCTCGGCGCCGCCGCTGCTCAACCCGCCGCCTTAATCACTTCTCCCCACGGCGATCCTGATCTCCAAGGTCTCTCTCTCTGCTCTGCGTCCCGATCTTGATTGAGTTTCCTTTCTCTTCGATGGTTCTGGAAGTTGTATTTTGGTTGTTGCTTGCAGAAGATGTGGAAAAGAGCGAGCAGGTACTGCGGGAATTTGACATGAACATGGCGTACGGGCCTTGCATCGGAATGACGAGATTGGCACGCTGGGAGAGGGCTCAACGCCTGGGTCTCGATCCCCCCGGCGAAGTCAGGAGTCTGCTGGACTCCGGCAAAGCCCAGACGAAGAGCCTCTGGGATGATCGTGTCTAGAAAGAAACCCTAACTCATCCTTCCGTCCTTTTTGAGTTTCTTAATTGAAGTCTTGTTTCTGTGTATGTATGTCTTTCTGTAACAGAATCAACGCAACCTCTGGCTGCTCTCTCTGTAATCTCTTGCTTAGTTTGAAGTATCGGGATCTTTGATTTGTGCTGAAAGTTGCTCGATTTGAACAAGCTAGTTTTTATCTATATAAAGATGTCCATTATATATGTTTGTTAGATGAGTTAACATCTAGTTTATGTTGCAAATGTCTACTATGCGACGTCTAGGACACAGGAAGACCAATAGGCAGGCAGGTGCCATTGTAGGATAAGGAGTCCTCTAGGAAGCCTGGAGAAGTTATCGACGATGAACGATCCAACTGCGATGCCGAGATAGCCACTGAGTATGAGCGAGAGGGCTGCTGCTGATGCCATCCTGGAGGGCATAGCTGACGTTGAATGGGAGAAGCTTGAAGTAGAGTGCCTCCAGGAGACCCGAGAAGGTTACAATTGAAAGCGAATCCATGTTCCGGTAAACTCCCTCCCTGCACGAACAGGACATCGGAGGCCACGAGCAGTGCCATTGTTGTCTGAATTGCAGCTGTCAGACGACAATTGTATACCACTCTCCAGGCGGCCTGGCCAAACGCCTGCCAACACGGATGATTTGATTTTGAGGTGCTCTGTTTGGTAATTGAACATGCATGGTCTCCTGTCAGTGATGGCGGAGGTCTGGATGAGCTGCTTTGCTTGGTCATCCCAGAATTGGCACTCTTTGGGAGGTTTGAGGGATCTTTCACCGACTGAGATGGTGATAGAGAAATTGGCGGGAGGAAATTAATGCGACGAACAGGAACATAGCTTGAGGAGAGAAGTTGCTAAGGGCTACGCCGCCTAAGAGTTCCCCAATGGTACATCCATCAAGGTGTCAGGCTGTCAGCACTCAGCTCAGCTCAGCTCCCACAGACTTGGAACTAAAACATCCCAGAATTCAATCAATGAAACAAACAGGTTGTTGGCAATTCCAACCCACGTCCTTGTCCATTCAAAATCTGGTCGTCATATTGTTTTACAAGATGATAGGGTGTTTTACAGCAAATTCCACTTACATTGCAGGCTACGTTACATTGAACATAAAAACACAGCCCTTTTTCTAACCATACAACTTTATTGCACATGCCTGCGTTGTTCCCTAACATTACCCTCTTGCCCTCCGTTCAGGACATCGCCACATTGAAATTCTCCAAATCTTATTTTGAACACAAAAAGAGAAAAGGGGAGAAAAAATCAGCAAGCACCACTCACTTCTTCAGCAACTGGGAGCTGCACTGCGCCATGATCTTCGAAGCCCTAGTAATGGAGTTGGTCATGTAGAAATTGTCCACAGCGGTCTTAAACGGAGTGGAGCTCACCTTCTCTTTAACCTCAGGTTTCAGTGATGGTCCAAATGTCGCGGGCTCTCTCTCGTCCAAGCTCAAGAGATTTGGTGCAACCATCCTAATTCGTGACCTAACACCCCCAGCTGTATCGTAGGGCAAGGGGGCTCCAGCAACTTCAGACAATGCGCGAATGATCTTCCAGTCATCTCTTGCATCACCAACTGTGGGGACTGCTGCCAAAGTCTGCTGCGAGCATCCTTCGGTGTTCTCATACGTTCCTTCCTTCTCAGAAAATGCCGATGCAGGGAGGATTACGTTAGCACGGTACACACTCTTGTCACCATGGTGACCCTGATAAACGACAAATGCGTCTTTTGGGATTTCATCCAGGTTCACGTCATCAGCACCCATTAGATAGACAAACTTGGCAGACTTGATTCCGTCAGTCGACTGTGGGACCAGCCCAAGATCGAGAGCGGCAGCTTGGGCGGCGTTGAGGAGCAAGACATTGAATCCATTCCAGTCTGGTCTAATCACGTTGAAGCTGGTGGCAATGTTCTCGACTGTGGCGAATATGGCTTCCTTGTCTTGTCTATCGAAGAGACCTGCACCCACAACTATAGCTGGGTTTTTGGCGTTTTTTATTGTCGAGGAGAATGGATGTCGTCCCTCAGCAATTTCGACTAGGGTCTCTGGGCCTGTCCCGAGATGCTGACAATCGTAGTTGAATTCGGTAGGTTGGCCAATGTAACCGACTTTGGCATTGTTTGCTCTGACGGTCTTGCGGATTCTGGCATTTACCATGGCAGCTTCTACCCTTGGCTGGCAATTTGTAAGCCCAAAATATTAGTTAGTGAAAAACAATGGCCTATAAGGAGAAGAATAAAGTACCAATACACATCTACATCAACCATCCTGATATATGGCACCCAAAACTCTACAGCAGAAGAGCCCAGGAAAATAAGATCACCACATTAACTACAACAGAAAGAAGACAGATCCGTAAAATTCCATACAAGTCAGCAGTATTGATCATAAGACTTGCACTTTGAAAAACATGCATTGCGGTAGACTTCATTATTTGGGTAAGAGCCAAGAACTCTATGGCAGGTTGATTTGGCGTAGTTGGAAAGTGATTTTATTTTATGTAATTGAAGTTTAAACTGCAATGTTAAATTATATGGGAGAAGAAAGGATGCGAATTTGACATTTGACAGCAGTCATGCTATAATGTGGTAAAACTAAAGTTGATCGAAAAGCACGAGGACAATGTAAGATGAGATAATAAGCATGGTAACAAGAAATTCACAATTAATAAATTCTGACGTAGATTTTACCTGAGTGCCAACCAGGAGGAAAGCATCCGCCTTTTCAAGGTCACTTATACCAGTGTTCATGATGTATCCAGATCGGAGATCAGCAACTGGACTAGGACCATTTCCTTCACATGTAACATTATTTGACCCCATTTTGTTCAAGAAATCTTTCAGCACCATCATGGATTCAGCATCAGATAGCTGGCCAGCAATCCCAACAATTTCTTCTGGTTTAACCTGATGGATCACCTCAGCAACCACGGCTAAGGCATCTCGCCAGCTAACAGTTTTAAAGCGACCATCAGACCCCCGGATCATTGGATCATTAAGTCTCTGCCTCTTCAAACCATCATAAGAGAACCTAGTTTTATCCGATATCCATTCTTCATTTATTTCCTGCAGCAGGCCAGTTTAACTCTGAACAAAGATGCAAACAACGAGTACTCAAAGCTATTGATATAAACCACAAGAGATGATACTAAGTAAATATCCAACAGGGCGTAGACCGGATTTCTGAAGATCTTTCTTTATGCACCGTTCCAAGTTTAGGATGGTGTCTCAACAACTACAAAACTAATCATCATCAACAACTGTTGGCACTTTGGATCATATCTCACCAGTTGAACTACGTTTTGTTTCTTTGTTACAGTACTACGAAATGCACATACAATTGATTAACTAAAAAATCTGCATTTCATGCAGCCAAAACTCCCAACCAAGTGCAAAAGAAGGCATTTAATGGAAGAACAATAGTAGGCATAATGAATACTAAAAGATGATTGACAGTTACCTCATTCAACCTCGGGAGAATGCGCATAACTTCTGGACCTCTGCTATCTATCCGGATGTTGGATCCGACAGCATCACTAACATCAATGCTCTCGGTTCCCTTTAGTTCCCAATTCCTGGCTTTAAATGCGAAAGGCTTTGATGTAAGAGCACCAACAGGACATATATCTATAACATTTCCAGAGAGTTCACTGGTCATTAGTTTCTCAACGTAAGTCCCAATTTCTTCTCCACTTCCACGACCTAACATGCCAAGATCCTGAGTACCAGCAACTTCAGTTGCAAACCTGACACATCTGGTACACCAAAAAACAACGTAAAAATGATCAACTGAAAGAAGGCCATGTTATGAAGGTCTGGCTCACTGTATATGCAAAATACCGAGACAAGAAGGTAAAAGCATTATGGATTGTACACCAAAAATATGAGAACACAAACCTTAAATAGAGCAGTGTTACTAGTTCAAAATCTAGTACTAAATAGGTCATATAAAATGCGACAAAAAGCGCAATACTCAGACCTTGTACACTGTATGCATCGAGTCATAACAGTCTTGACCAGAGGGCCTAAATTCTTATCAACCACAGACCGCTTCATTTCAGTGAACCTGCCTCGATCAGATCCAAAAGCCATGGACTGATCTTGAAGATCGCATTCTCCACCTTGATCACAGATTGGGCAATCCAAAGGATGATTCATCAACAAGAATTCCATCACCCCTTCACGTGCCTTCTTCGCCAAAGGAGTGTCTGTTTTAATTTTCATCCCTGCAATAATTCGCGATTCGCCGACTCATTAGACCAAACTAGACAAGATATACAAAATACTGCCAAAGATCATATATAATTCAGTGAAACTAAGTCAATATATCAAACAAGATATCCATACATATACATAAATTGGAAGAGACTATCGCTACAAAAAAATCCATTTTTCGCCTGACCAAAATCAAGTTAACCCAGAAAGGCACTAAATAAAGAGTCTATGAGCACAATATAAATACAAAAACACAAACTTTTATTAAGATGTTAAACCCCTGGATTTTGTTTAACTAATGTTTACATCTGCCTGCATCAACAACTAGTTCAATGTTCCAAAAAGCATCCTGGAGAATTTCTACACTAGAAAGCTTAATTGGATCAGAAGTCATTCTAACCTATTAAGTACTAAAATTCTAGGGGCTGAAGCTGCAACGTAAGCAAAGAGCTGAAGTGAGAAACATTAACAGATTTTCTAGTTACTAGTTCCACAACCACTACTCCACTAGTACAAAAGCGATTAAGAATCCATCGCCAATGTAATAAAACAAGATAACTGATAAATAGGGAAAACAGAAGAACAAAAGATATCAGATTCAACACGTTAAAGAATAGAAAACCAAAAGTTCAGCAGAAAGCCAAGCTTCACACGATAGGCTAATTGTTCACTCCTAAGTTGATGAAGAGTTTATCTTAACGCTGTTCTATTTAGAAAAGAAATGGAAACAGCATACAGATTCCACAATTTCAGCTCCAAATAATAAAACCCCAAATATTATCCAATTCCGATCAGGGCAGAACCAGATCAAATTCCGTCGACCAATCATTCAAATAGAAGCTAAAAAGGGTAAAAACAAATATGAACAAGGAATGAAAAAAAAAAGGAGAGGAGAGACGGATTTAAAAACCAGGAAGAGCAGGCATGGCACAGGAGGCGACAGGCTTTGGGGACTTCTCAACCTCAACAAGACACATTCTGCAGTTCCCTGCGATCGAGAGACGGCTGTGGTAACAGAACCTCGGGATATCAACCCCGGCGATTTCACAAGCCTGCAGAACCGTCATCCCCTTGGGGATTTTGACAGGATACCCATCGACGAACACCTCGATGGCGTCCTCGGGATTGGGGAAGTGAACCCGGGCCCCGCCCATCGGGTTCCGAGGCGGGAGATCTGGAGTCGGCTCTGGCGCGGCCGCTGCGGCAGCCTCGGGAGATTGGAGCTCGGGCTTGGTGACGATGGAGCGGAGGAGGAAGAGATTCCTGGGGTTAGCGCGGGGTCTGAGTACCCGTGAAGCTAGTAACCCTAGCCCCATTTTTCTTTCCCGGCCACTCTTCGGGTCCCTCTGAGGCGCGGAATAGAAATCGCCTTCGAATCCAAATTTGGCGGAGAGTGTGATCGCGGTGGTGAATGGTGATGGCGGAAGCGTGTGTCCGTCAGAAGACAAGACCCAGAAGTGAGGGGAATGGGAAGAGCTCAAGAAGTGTGTTATTACTGGATGGAAATTGCACAGCGACTAACAATCTGGTATACAGTCTGGGGACGGTGTGGTCCGGTCCAGCTCAAATTATATAGACGATTTACGGTCTAGTTCATATAGACTATATTAAATGAAAAATGAACATTTTGTTAAGTTAACTATACTAAAATTGAATCGATAACTAAGAAAAAAAATTGTTTTGTTTTTCTTAAAACATAAAATTCTACATGCATGAATAATTTTGACACCCTAAATCTTAGTAAATAACAAAGATACAAAATCGAAGAATCCCAACTCGCAACATAAAATCACAGACATTTACATAATGTCATATGGAGACACGATCGTCTCTACTCTCTAGTGAAATGTGGTTGTGAATGAAGGAGGAGACGAGATTCTCAAAATTAAGGTTGAGACTTGAGTCTCGCCGGGGGAGTTGGGAGAGTGGTCGAGTGGGCTACTAACATGTAATGGGAAGTCGGCTAGATCCACGATTTGGTCCGGTAAACCGCGGTGTAGACTAGACAAGACCAAGAGATCAAAACTTTATATAATACAAACCATGGACCAGACCAGACCATTCTTCGCAGTCTACAGTCTAGACCAAACTGTGCAGTCCGATTTGGTCCATGTTTTTTCAAGCGGTCTAGTTTATTTTCCCAGTCCTACTGCTACTGGTATATGGGGAGAAGTGTTCAGCTCCGAGCCTCCAAAAGTTTGGTACTGTTATTTGGTATACCAAATACCGTACCGAAATTTATCACTATTTGGTATTATCGAATACCAGCTAATTTTTTAGAGATTGAGATTGTGATTCATTTTAGAGTGCTATTCAGTATTCGAGATTACGGGATTGGGATATACCAAAATATCGAAAATACCAAAAATTAAAAATTAATGAAATATAGCACACAACCTTCGGTCATTCCTCACTCTTTCACAACTTAAAAGCCACCATACAACTCACTTTCGACCAAGGATTGAAATATCGTCCCGACGGTTCAACCAGAAAAACCTCATACCGGAGCCTAAACTGGTAGGCGGTATTTAGCGGTTGAACCATGGTTAAACCACGGTTTTAGCATAAAATACCCTACCGCTGACTTTTCCAGTACAAGCTCCGATACGATATTTCAATCCTTGCTGTCGACTTTCCAATTTAAGTCATTCTTATCTCTCACCTAATCTTTATTATTTTCATAATACCAAGCAAACACTAGTATTAGTCGTCTCTCATTCTCCAATTCATCAAATTAAAGATTACCAATAATAATAATTTGAGATGTCTCCTCTCATCCATTCTCCTTATTATATATCCTAGATCTACGCAAACTGAAGACGGTTTGCTTAGTCTCTTTGCCCTAAATTATCAAATCTAATTTATATATTTAATTGAAAAGGTAATTAATTTCGTATTCGATAATATCGATTGTGATATCGAAATATTTAGAGATTGAGATTGTGCTTGATTTTAGGGTGTTATTTCGGTTATTAGAGATTTCAGTATTTGGTGTTTGGATACTGATATCGTACCGATTTTCACCCCTTGTCTGACGAGTATAAACCGACCTGGTTTCCATGGTTGAGGCCTTCAATTCAATGCTACGTAGGCTGGGCTTTCGGTTTTTTATAATTTAGATGAATGAATTAAAAAAATAGTCAATTTGGTGAATTGTCTCGTTTATAAAATGAGTCAATTCACATTACATACTCCATCTCAGACAATTGAAATTGACTCAAAATGAATTGATTCAAAATTTTCCAGGCTAAATTGATCCATTTAAATTTTCTGTTGACAAACGAGTGGATTTGGTTCGATTTCTCAAAACAAAACAATTGAATCAAATTGATATGTTACAATTCCTTATCCAAACGACCCTTGGTTTTCATAAGTCACCTTTGACTATCAAAGTCCACATCTTCCTTTCCTCCTTTTCTATTAGGAATTGAGACAACATATTGTAATTTTTGATAGGGGTGGGCAATTGGCGGGTTGGGCGAGTTTTGGTCTCAAATTGACCCATCCGCTTACTAGCAAGTTGAAATAATTGTGACACGTAATTTACCCACATTCTTCTGCGGGTTGGGTTTGGTGGGTGGCGGATAGGTGCGGTTGGGTCGCGGGTCAACCCGCAAAAATAATTCTCCAACTAGCCATTAAGAAAGTTGACTAACATTTATAATAAGTTCATAGCAAATTAGTAAGAATGTATTCAATAATTTGTGATTTTGATACAATTAATAATTTATAGTTTGCATCCCAATTTTTAATGGATATTAACAATAATTTGCATACCAATATCTAATATCTAATGGATATTGCACAACACAATAACCAATAATAGTAGTAAAAAATAATCTTTATTCTCCACCTTTTGAAGTAGATGGTCAGACTGTAGTGTAGTTAAAAAATATGATGAATATTCGATACTATAAGATTCAACATTTTTTCATGTGAAGATAGGATGCAGGTTATATGAGTGACCCACAATCCACCCACCACCCGGGAAAAGTATAGAGAAAAGATAGTTCTTTTCTATTCTATTAGTATTCGACCCACATAAGTGCGGGTGGGTGATTAATCAATCTGCAATCCACCAACATCAATCACCCACTGTGTGCAGGTCGGGTTATTTGCTGGTGGATCGATATCAATCTGCGGATTAAACACCCACTTGTTCACCCCTACTTTTTGATGTCTTTTCCGAAATTGTTGGTCGAAATGTCATTTGAAAATAATGTATTTACTATTTACTTGTGTATTCTAAAAAATTTAAATTAATTTAAATGTTTAGTATCATATGAAATTAAAGTGACATCGAAATTATTATTCAGTTTTTGAAAATATGATAATGTTTCATTAATGCATCCATGAAAGCTCCGACTCAACTTAGTGATTTGCCTTTTACTGCGGTTAGTTCATATTAAACCAAATAACTCTTAATGATGCATATGGTTAATTTCTCTATTAGATAAAAGAATTAAATAAGTGAAATAATACTTAAGGGATTCAGAAATTGTGCTCTTTTAAACTCACTCATGGGTCCAATCGTGCCGAATTATCAAGAGATTTAAGGTTTAGTAGTTAACAGGACTAAAAATTTCAAAGAATTTGTCGCTTATAGTTTGCACAAAAATGGAGTTGCTTTATGGTAGTTCTAAAAATTAATACTAAATTTTTTTTATAGAGAAGGGTGATTTAGGTTTGCATTGGGTGATATAAGTTTGCGTATAGTGATTATGTACTACTTAATGGATTCGAACCTGGGACCTTTAGGTTTTAGGACAATGGTATCACCACTAGACCAAATCCTTGTTCGTATAAATTAATACTAAGTTAAAAATTATATATCGCTTCTATACATCCAATACTGCAATCAATATGCAATATTCCAACCAATGATATTTGAGTGTGGTTTTAAAATTATTCCCCATTTATAAGAGAGGCAGTAATTAAATCAATTACTAAAACTCAAATTAAAATAATCAAAATATGAAAATCAAACACCAAAGAAATATTTCCGGGAGAGTTAGTGCGCAAGCTAACCGTGGTGAAAAAATCCTTTGATTTTTCAGATTTTAGTTTTCTGTATGTTTTTAGTTTAGAAAAATGTAATATATTTGTTTAGGGTAACTGGTAATCATACTTGTCTTTGCATTAAGAAACCATATTTCAAATCCCAAGACTAATGTATTTTTTATTATTAATAAATAAATAGCTACAAAGACAAATTTGGCCATCCTAATATCGCTCTCGTTGCAGCCAATGCAGTTTAGCTAGCTTTAAACTAAACTTTTACGCATTTGGTTCCCCGAAGGATTGTAGATTTTATTGTAAAAGCATTTTGCATCAAAGTCCAAGTAAAAACTCTCCAACAGAGTAAAAGCTAGATTGTAACAACTTTTTTAGACTTTTGATATGAGTTTGAGGAACATATTGGGTTGGGTTTGATCAATTTTGATTGCCAAAAAAGAAGAAAATGACAACTTTTTGTCATTTAAGTTGTGTCACCCTTTCAGCCTTTTCTTCTAGGAGTAGCTCATCCGTAATTCATCACCGCTTTTCCTCCATTCTCCTAAACTCTATACGTCCAAACCAACACACACATCATCTAGGTTCCAACCTCCATTGTCCTTTCTGGCAGCTCCCCCATAATGTTGCATCCGACTTCGTCTATAGTAGCTCACCTTGTTGCTACAACTTTGATCGCGTCACTCGATGCGACAACCTGCCTCATCCCAGAATCTCCTACTCCAACCCTGTAATTAGTTTCATCATTTGTTGTCGGTTCCTCTTTTTATCGAAAGCAGCGGGAATGGGGTAAATGCTTGTTTATGATCCTATTAATTTAGTTTATGTGTTTGTGAGTAATCTTTTAAGTAGGATTATAAGTATAATAAATCCCTCTATTATTTATCTTTATCAAACATGCCCCTATACTATTTTTTTTATATAAAAAAACAACAGAATATGTTACAATACAAAATTTTATATACTACAAAATCGTAATGGATTGCTGAGATGTGAGAAGATTTGATATAATGAATTTTTGGAGAAGGGTAATGAGGTAAAGTAGGGGTTTGGGGAGACAACTAGCCAGGTTTTTGGACAACTAACCAGCTTTTTTGGGGTTTAGGGGTTGCACTGATTTTCAAGCGTGCTATTAAAGCACTTTTCAAATGGCCTACTGACACGCTAAAACACAACACCAAACTGCGACCAAGTGTAATCGTAGTCCGGAAATGCAGTAACAGACAAGCTCTAATTGTCAACCCGGGGTCTAGATCTACTGCCTACTCCGTGTATATTTGTTATCTAGCAAACTAAGTCGAATGATTGTGGTTTTAACTAAAAGCGGTAAGAAAGCAGGAAATGGTTCGGTTTTCTAAAGCAAAGGAAGAGTCACTCGGGAATGAGTCCCCCTAGCTCCTTAGTTAGGTCTCAGTTATAATTACCCTGGGTTGATTACTGTTGATTAAACTGCGGAAGATCCGATAGTAGCTTGGAATCTCTTAAGCTGACCAAGCCCTCTCAGGCAGGCTAACCGGCAGGC